GCATGGCTCCAGTTTCTCAGAGCCTGGGGGCCAGGGGGAGGGACCAAGAGGTCAGCAGTCCCACCCGCTCGCCAGTCCCACCCTGCCCCACTGCCACTCACCTCGGTTCGCCCTTCACTATGCTGCGATGGGAGCCTTTTGGGGGGCGGGGGCGGGGGCGAGAGGTGGTCAGTGCACCTCATGGCGACTGGTCGAGCAGTCGTTTCGGTCGTTATGCTTATGGTCACTGACCTTTTATTATATAGGATTGGTAAGTGAATAGACTGCATCCAGATGGCCTAGAAATCCCAACCACCTCTAAACTAGCTGTGTGTTCAAGGGCCAGTTACTTAATTTGTTGTGACAGGTTGTTTTTTAAATCTTTATTGTTCAGATTATTACAGTTGTTCCTCTTTTTTCCCCCATAGCTCCCCTCCACCCGGTTCCAACTCTACCCCCTGCCCTTACCCCCCCACACACACACACACACACTGTCTTCATATATAGTTGTACAATTTTTGTCCAGTCTCTTCCTGCATCCCCCACAACCCTTACCCCCCCCCCCAAGAATTGTCAGTCCACTCCCTTTCTATGCCCCTGATTCTATTCTATTCACCAGTTTATTCTGTTCATCAGTTTTTTTATTCACTTGATTTTTAGATTCACTTGTTGATAGATATGTATTTGTTGTCACTTTGTTGTTCATAATTTTTTTTTTAAATATATTTTATTGATTTTGTACAGAGAGGAAGGGAGAGAGATAGAGCGTTAGAAACATCGATGAGAGAGAAACATCGATCAGCTGCCTCCTGCACATCTCCTACTGGGGCTGTGCCCGCAACCCAGGTACATGCCCTTGACCGGAATCGAACCTGGGACCTTTCAGTCCGCAGGCCGACGCTCTATCCACTGAGCCAAACCGGTTTCAGCCATAATTTTTATCTTTACCTTTTTCTTCTTCCTCCTCTTCTTAAAGAATACCCTTCAGCATTTCATATAATACTGTTTTGGCAGTGATGAACTCCTTTAGTTTTTTCTTATCTGTGAACCTCTTTATCTGACCTTCAATTCTAAATGATAGCTTTGCTGGGTAGAGTAATCTTGGTTGTAGGTTCTTGCTATTCATCACTTTGAATATTTCTTGCCACTCCCTTCTGGTCTGCATAGTTTCTGTTGAGAAATCTGCTGACAGTCGTATGGGTACTCCCTTGTAGGTAACTAACTGTTTTTCTCTTGTTGCTTTTAATATTCTCTCTTTGTCTTTTGCCCTTGGCATTTTAATTATGATGTGTCTTGGTGTGGTCCTCTTTGGATTTGTCTTGTTTGGGGTTCTCTGAGCTTCCTGGACTTGTAAGTCTATTTCTTTCACCAGGTAGGGGAAGTTTTCTATCATTATTTCTTCAAATAGGTTTTCAGTATCTTGCCCTCTCTCATCTTATGGCACCCCTATAATTCGGATGTTGGTATGCTTTCAGTTGTCCTAGAGGCTCCTTACACTATCTTCATATTTTCGTATTCTTTTTTCATTTTGCTTTTCCAGTTGGGTGTTTTTGCTTCTTTGTATTTCAGATCTTTGACTTGATTCTTGGGATCCTCTCGTCTGCTGTTGGAGCTCTGTATATTATTCTTTATTTCAGTCAGTGTATGCTTAATTCTAATGGGTCCTTTTTCATATCCTTGAGGGTCTCACTATATTTCTCGGAGGTTTCTAGAAGATTCTTGAGTAACCTTATAACCATGGTTTTGAACTCTATATCCAGTAGTTTGCTTTCCTCCATTTCTTTCATTTGTGACCTTTTTCTTTGTCTCTGCATTTTGACTGCTTCCCTGTGTTGATAGAGTGGCTTTGTCTGCTAGGTGTCCTATTGGGCCCAGTGGCTCAGCCTCCCTAATTATCTGAGGTGGACACTATTGGTGCACCCTTTTGTGGGCTGTGTGCACAGTCTTATTGTAGTTAAGCCTTGATTGCTGTTGGTATCACTGGGAGGAATTGACCTCCAGGCCAATTGGCTGTGAGGACCAGTTGTTCTACAATGGGAGAGCTTCTGTGCTGGAGACACCCTTATGGGGCAGGGCTTGCTTCAGTGGGGCTTTGGCACTCACTGAGTCTGCTCAGGTTTTTAGGCAGAGAAAGGCCAGGCCATTCATATGCAAAAGCCTCTGCACACAGCTTGGGTGGGGTTGTAAATTGGGTGGGGCGGGGTCTCAGGGAATCACCGGTGTGGAGCAAACCACAATGGCTGCCAGTCTGCTCTGCCTTGGATAGGTCCCGGGGGTCTGTGTCCCACGGCCTCGTGCAGGAACAATGACTGCTGCAAGCACCTCTGCAAGAAAGCTGTCCTCGCGTTCCTGCCCGATGCCAGACAGTCCAGTTTCTCTCAGTATGAGTCTGGGTCCCCAAATTCTCGCCCGGTACTGGAGTTCAGAGCAGTCGGGAGCTTGTTTCTCCCTCCCGATTGAAAAAGACAACAGCTGCCATCCTCTTTTGCGCACTTCTGTACCTCCACACTTCCACACCTGTGCAGCTCCTACTGGACTCAGTGCGCTTTTCTCTTCTAGTTGTAGAATTTCCACTCAGCCAGCCTTTCTGTGGTTCTGAATGATACTCGTTTTGTCTTTTAGTTGTAGTTTAATGTGGTTGTGCATGGCAGCAAGTTCAGGTGTTTACCTATGCTGCCATCTTGGTGGTCTCGACAGATTTTTTTTTTTTAATCTATAAAAGTAGTAATAGCTGGCTAATGTGGGGATGAAATGAGTTAATTGGTATTGCCTAGCACTTAGCAAGTACTACATGACTGTTGTCATTATTTTCCATGCTTGACATACAGTGGTATCTAAAAAATGCTTTCTATACAGTGGGGCCTTGACTTATGAGTGTCCCAACTAACGAGTTTTTTGAGATACCAGCTGTCTCGGCAGATTTTTTGCATTGAGTTGATAGAGTAATTTGAGTTAACGAGCTCCTTAACGAGCTCGGTCTCAGAACGAATTAAATTCGTAAGTTAAGGCCCCACTGTATTTTTTTTGCCAAGCATCTTACTTGGTTTGGTGTGTTTATGCCTTCAAGGAGAACAATTTGTTATAGTAGAAATCTGGGTTCTAGTTTGGATCACCCATTAATCTGATCTTGACCAGTTAGTGAGAGGGAGTTCAGATAAAATGATAATTAATATTTTCATATAAAATGAAAATGCTTTAATATTTTTAATTGAACCTTTAGCTGTTTTTGAGTATTCAACTAGAATTTGTTTTTTTTTAATGATACTGTGAAATGTTGAACCAGATACTTAGTTTTTGTATCACAGCTTACCAACAGGTATTAGAAATTCTTAGGTTTTGAGTTATTGTATGATTTACAGTTGATTCCTATGACTTGTGTTTGTGTGTTCAATCTAAATCTAAACTGTTTAATAAACGTGCCCAATTAAAGATAGTTCCCTAGTATAACCTCTACCTTGGCTTTTCATGTCACTGAGAACCTATGTCATAAAATTACTATACTAATCTCCTAGTAAAATTTGAATCGGACAAACTAGAAAGACATTCTCTTCTTAATTGCAACTTATTCTGTGTATGTGCACTTAAATGTTATGGATTTCACTTAGATTTGCTTCATTTCTTTATGTCCTATATCTTAGAAGACTGTTCAAATTTTCATTGTTTTGTGTTTTTTTTTTTCATTCCAAAGAGCACCTCGTATATAATAAGCATGTTGTAGAATCAAAATAAATGTAGTCAAATTTTATTGGAATTCAAATTCTGTAAAGATGGTTGTGTCTGACTCCCACAAAGTTATTTGTGGTTTTTCCTGAACTTTTCCTTCTGCAGCAAAGTTCTATTTTCATTAACTACACACTATTTTAAAGTAAAAGATGGTGGTGAAAGATCAGTCTGTGTTACCTTTGGATTTTTTTTCTTCGTGAAAGCAATGGCAGTCTTGATTGTAACAGAAAATTATCTGGAATTTGGACTCGAAACAGGTAATTCATACAACTTTAAAAATCAGTTTTGCTTTATCTAGTCTTACTTTTTTTAACTTCAATATTCAAGTAAGTTTTACATCAGATAAGTTTTTAAAATTAGGTTAGAGGTGCATATTTTGCAATGTTCTAAATAACTAACCTTTATTGTTATTAAGTAATATCTTCCTTCCTCTTTTGTTTTAGCTAAGTTTTTGTTACCTTTCTTCAGACATGCACTCTTTCCCCACTTTTTCCTTATAATTAAATGAGTTTCTGTAATGCTAAAGTTTACTCACATAAACGCAGATGCAAATCTTAATGCAAATTTTATGCACACTCATGGAATGTACAAATATCAAAAGGATGTTTTCAAAGACTGTTCCTGCTAGTAACCAAATTTTATTGCATTATGGCATGATAATTAGCACATGAAAGAGCTAAACTAGTCACTTCAAAGTATAAGATGCTCTGTTTTCTAGCATTTTATTTCCAAAGAAAGATTCTGTATTTTACTTCAGTGGTAAGAATAATATTTTTCCCCTACAGGATTTACAAATTTTTCAGACAGTGCGATGCAGTTTCTTGAAAAGCAAGGTTTAGAATCTCAGTAAGTTCTTTTTTTTTTTTTAATTAAGCATCACTTAAATTTTTACATTTTTAGTAGAATAGATTTATTATGAATGGTTCTTTGTAACCAGTGAAAGAGTTTTAAGTAGGACTGTCACTTTTAGAAATACTCTTTTAATTTTTACATTTGTATAAAATTAGTATCTTTCACAGAATTTTTACATGTCACGTATCAAATTCTATGTTGAATATGTAGGTTGGATTGTTCAAATGTAGCTAAAGAGATGCCTGATTTTGTTTATAGTTCACTAAATTTTACTATGGATATTTGGATAAGTGCAGTCCTTTTGTAAAAGTCACTCTTTGTGTATTACTATTATTGTGTTTTTTAAATGATTGATTAGAAGAAAGAAAAATTCCTAGAAAGGTAACTGTAAAAATTTATCAGATTTTTTAAAATTTTATTTTTAGGGGTCCTGTTTCAAAACTTACGTTCAAATTTTTCCTGGCTATTTTCTGTTCACTCATTGGGGCTTTTTTGACATTTCCTGGATTACGGCTGGCTCAAATGCATCTGGATGCCCTGAATTTGGCAACAGAAAAAATTACACAGTAAGCGGAAAATGTACATAAGCACATGCAGATAAATATATGTTTTCCATCTTATTGAAGGTATATTATTGTAATGAAATCATACATTTTTATATTGAAAATTAATTTGATATCACAATACTTCCTCTCTCTACTTTAAGCAAGTTTATTTTATTCACTTCCAAATTTTAAGTCCTGGGTTTAAAAAATATAACATCAATTGCTAAATTGTTTTACCTGTTAGAATGGAAATGTCATTATTTATGTTAACTTTTTATCACAGGACAATTTTTGATATTGTAATTTCTACAACTGAACTGAGGATGTATGGAATATTTTCTTTAAATTGTATGTAAACAGTGTTATTTAATTTTTTTAAAAAACATTTACATTTTTTAAAATAAAATTTGCATACATAAGAGGTGTTTGTACAACTCTTGTTAGAAGGATGCATTGTTTTATTTTGGGGATTGTTAGTACTGTACACTATTAAATATCATAGACTACTTTTATCTATCAAATTTTATTTTAGTTCTCAAAATGGAGAAATCATATTTAAAACCTATAGATAGTTCAAAGCCCATTTACTATATTCTTTGTGGTTATCATATATTTTTGTTGTTGTTGATGCCGATACCTTAGCTGACAGGTTTATAGATCCAGATCATATCCACATCCAAATTCCCTCCTCATCTTTTTGTTTTGCAATAGAAGCCTGAGTTGAGAATAGTCTTTTTTGATATATGTATTTATAGTCGTTAAGTTTCTGAATGATTACTTCTTAACATTTCTGCTCTTTAAAAACACATACTTTAATGATGCTGATTCTGTAGTGTTTTTATATCAATATCTCTTACCTGTGTCATTTCCTTTATTTTAATTTTGACAGTCTTTTTTTTTTCTTACCTCCATTTTTTTAGATATGTGTGTGTGTTCACTTACTCTCACCTACCAGTGCACACTGTTTCATCCCACTTTTTCCTCCTGTTTTTTACTCAGTATGTTCTTGGCTACATCCTGCCTTTCTCTCACCATTCCATCTATCTGATGGCTTCTTTTAAAACAAAACCTGGTTCTCCTCCCTTCTCTACACACACACTTTAGGCCACTAACCCCAGTGTTATGATTTAAATAAACTGAAAGGGTGGGTGGAGGGGAGACCTTCATCAGCTACTGAAACCGCTGTGGGCTGCTCCTTAATGCTAGAGTGTTCCCTAGCAACACTGCATACCTAATACTGCTGCCTTCTTTCCCACACCCGAAGGTTTACCCAGCCTGTGAGATGAGAGAATCACTTTATTAAAACATTAAAAACATTTAGTGGTGTTTTGGGGTAGGGGTGGAGGCACGTTTTAGTTTCCTTTTAAAACGTGGCTTCTTTTTAAGATTTTTCACTTTAGTGATTTGGAGTCTTATTTTCAGTTTATTTTAGCCCCACATTGTGTTGTAGCACTCTGCCTGATACACGGGTGTGGGCAGGCCCATTTTGTTGAGAGAGTAGCATGACTGGCACAAAGAGCAACGTCCTCTTCACCCCCATGGCCAGGCACTAGTACTCGTTTTAATGCCAGAGCTTAGAACCAGAGTTCCACCTTTCCCTGTCAGGTGTTCATGTTTCCCAGCTCTGTGTGTGTGTGTGTGTGTGTGTGTGTGTGTGTGTGTTAAACCTTCCAGTGTAGCCCTTCACTCTGGTTGATAATGAAAGTAGTACATGGCAATAAAATAATCTGAAGGATTTCTCTTTTTTTCTAAAATGAGAAAAATCCTTACTAGTCGTCTATCTCTGTGGGGTACATGTTTGGGACAACACTTAATGAAGGTATAGCTCATACCTGAAACCTTTTGCTGTATTAAAGTATATTGTCTTGTTAGGAGTAATATAAATTTCTTTGATTAGTAAAGGATAGGGAAATTTATTTCATGTATTTTTATAATATCCAAGAAGAAAACTTATAAATTATTTATGATTTTAACAACATAATTAGAACAGTATACATGATCATTATATATTGAAAGTGCCCTAAGTTGTTGCAGTAGGTTCCATCTACTGTATGCCTTCTAGTATTATGGATCTTGCTAGTCCCTATATCTTACTTGTAAATAATGAGGCATGTTGTTTTAGCTACACTGAAAAGTATCAAAAGATGACTGCATACTGAAAAATCTTTGAATTCATTGATTATGTAAAGTTAGAGAATCATTTAAGTACCCGTGTATTAAATCAGGGAGATAGGAGGGGTTTTTAATGCTACAATAGAAGTGAACAGACTTAGATTTTAATGCTAGATCTGCCCTTGACATAATAATTGCTATGAGCAAGTCCTTTAACTTTCTTGGATCTAAGTGTTCTTATCTGAAAAATTAAGACAATGAAATAGTTTTGCAAGGGTTCAAATCAGTGTTAAATGATAATGATAAATATTAAATAATGGTGATAGCACCTTAAATATATAGAATACTGTAAATAAGTTTTTGCTTTCGTTATGTAAGTCCCAAGTTTCTTTAGTTTATTAGTGTATTTTGTTTCTGGATTTTTATGTTTATTTCTTGCATACTTTCAGAACATTGCTTCATATCAACTTCTTGGCACCTTTACTTATGGTTCTGCTCTGGGTAAAACCAATCACCAAAGACTACATTATGAACCCACCATTGGGTAAAGAAAGTGTCCCTTTGTAAGTATGGGTGTTTGAGGGCTCATTTTTGTTTCATTATATAATAAAAAATGTATACTGTATTAAAAATTTTAAGTAGAATATTAGGACACTTTTTAAAACAATAGAAATGCTAAAAGTGTGTTGTAAAAGTGAAGCTTCAAGTCCTCATTTTACTTTTTGTGATCTTTATTAATGAATGTGGATGATTATTACCCTGCATTAACATTATTTTGAATACTTACAAGTTTTTCTGCTTTTTCAGTTATTGTCCAGTTGTTTTCTGATATTTTTCTATTGTCATTGTGCCTGTTTTAAAGATACTTTGTACAATTATTTTATTGTTTTGATTGTGAAAATTATGGAGGAAAAAATAAGTATAAATGGAAATTCATATATAAAGCCCCCATAGTAGTTATAACATTTTCCATATTTGCTTCACCCTTTTTTTGTTTTGTTTTATGTAGTTTTTCAAGTATATTAGAGGCATAACATTTTTACTCCAACATACTTTAGTGTGTACCTCTAAAAAAATAAGGACATTTTCCTGCATATCAGTATCGTCATCAGACTGATCAAAATTTTAAATAATGCCTTGACATTATTATCTAATATTATCTCTCCACTTAGACAGCCATATTTTAACAGAAGATGGTAAGGAAACATAGAAATAATTTACTAAAGGGCATTAATAAATGTACTTGATATGTTAACTCATTAGCCTTGTGAAATGATGTTAGAGTAATTGAAAGGTTCATACAGAGCTGGTTTAAACCCCAGTTCTGATCTTCACTAAAACTGTCACTTGAGGGAGATTATTTAACTTCACTGAGCCTCTGTTTCCCCATCTGGAAAATGAAGATAATAGTATCCACCTCACAAAGTTATCTTTGGAATTAAATGAAAGAACACATGTAATGCAACCGGCTGGAAATAAGTGCTTAATAAATATTCCCTTCAGTGCTTTACCTCATCAAAATTAAAATAGAAAATTTTGACTAGTCATTGACTCCACAGTGTGCATTTTATGTTATGTATACTTTTAGATCCCGGTACAGATTTGTCTTAGATTATATAATCAGTGATGACCATAACTTATTTTTTTTTTTTTATTTTGAGAGAGAGAGAGAAATGTTGATGTGAGAGAGAAACATTGATCAGTTGCCTCCTAGCTGCACCCTGACCTGGGATTGAACCCTCAAACTAGGTATGTGCCCTGACCAGGAATTGAACCTGAAACCTTTTGTTATATGGGACAATATTCCAATCAACAGAGCCCCCCAGCCAGGGCCATAACATTTATTAAAAGTTTATCTGATTGAATTAGGGAAGTACCAATAAAAGAATGTTTTTCCCCCACACATTTAAGCCTTAATGGTAAATTTAACTTCACAGATTCACTAAGTATTTAAAAGTGGGTCTCTCTCTCCTTTAGCATGCCCGAAACTTTCCCCTTCGAGTTGCTTATGTCTTTCTTTTTCTTAAACTCAAGGGCCCTTCTTTTGTCTCTGAACTTGTTTCCTATGCCCATGTAGTCCAGCTGGCTCACTTCTTCCACAGTTCACTTCTACTTTTGTGACTTTCTAAATAATCTTTTGTTGGTATTTGGGAGGTGGTAAAGTGTATATTCTGCGAATCCTAGGGCTCTAGACAAAATCTCAGAAAAACTTCTAACTAATGTCTTTGATGTTGAAAGCATTCCCAGTCTTTCTTTGAAGTTTGGTCATAGGCGTTGGATTTTATACTCCTACTAGTGACTCGGTGCACGGATTCATGCACACTGAAAGGAAATTAATTAGAAGAAATATTTTAATATTGCTATTCATCCTTTCTTTATAATAGAAGTGTCAACCAAATTCACGATTGACAATGGCAGATTGAAACACACAAGTGCGATTGGCACCAGCGAGAGTTTTATACGTATGGCGCATGCGCGAGTCAAATTAGCCTTTTATATATAAAGAATAAACTTGCTTAATTAGACCTGCTTTCTGATTTAGCTAAACTTTTTCCAGCCCAGTGAAGCACCCCAACTTCTCTTTCAGATAATTGTCAGCAACACAGCAGTAAATATCAGCACAAAGCACATTATTATTGTAGATCACGCAGGGAGAACAAAGGGTAAAATATTTAACTGAAGCAGTGTTTGACTATACTCTGCGCAGTGAGAAAACCTGAAGTCATTTTCAAGGTCCATCATTTCTTACTTTTCAATCAGTCAACTTTCTAAACTTTTCTATATCTCCGTTTTCTGGCTAATGAAAAGAAAATAGGATTCTATTGAGCCTCCTATCTACCTACTCCAGGACTTCTGGGAGACTCAAATGAGATGAGGCACGTGAAAACACTTCACAAACATTTGGTTAAAGTGTAAAATGTTTGCACCTGGCTATAAAACAAGTTGTGTTCCCGGGCTGAAGAAACTCCAAGGAGGCTATTTGCTAGGAAGAGGAAGCTGGGCGTTGCTACGTGACATCATTACCCAGCGCCTGCAGCCACCCTTTCTGGGCTGGGCTGGGCTGTGGGCCGCATTTTGCGCCATGGGGTCTTGGCAGCGTGGGCTGCAATTTGGTGGGCTGTCACTCTGGGGTGGTGGCAGGGCCTGTGTTCCACTTGGGGGAAGCCAAATACTGCTTTGTTGGCGCCAGGTCCGTGGTGCCGTTTCTTTGTAAATGGCCAGTGCGCCTCATGGCAGCTCCTGCGCTCCTGCGTTGAGTGTCTGCCCCCTGGTGGTCAGTTCATGTCATAGCGACTGGTTGGATGGTCGGAGGGACACTTAGCATATTAATCTTTTATATATATATAGATTATTATATTCTCTGATTTGATATTTGCCTTAGTTTAATTAGGAAAATAGGAAACCAGCATTCATGATATATCCATCATACACCAGTTATTATGCTAGGTGTTGATAATTTACATATTTTATGTCATTCTTACAGTAATTCTGTGTGTGATTGCTATTCTCATCTCATTTTATAGATAAAGTAATGGACTCAGAAATTAAATAATTTGGCTAAGGTTACTCAGTCAAATATTATACCAAATATATAAAGCACTTAGCACTTACCAATATTCATTTCCCATTTTCACCCTAACTAAACTTTGTGCATGTTAGTAGCAAATACTATGCTTAAAGGAAATGGAGATAAATTATTTTGCCTTGTTTGTATATTAAATTATAGAAAAATTTTGTTTTATATGAAGACCTAGTATTGCCTTCCTATATCTTTGTTTCCTTTGTTCCATCCCCATTTCTGATCCAGTTCATAAGTAATTCAAACAAAATTATAGCCTTGTCTCTGGTCCATTCTAGTCTCTATTTTTTAGACCATTATATTAAATGATTAGACAGAGGTGATTTTTAATTTTTGCTTAAAATTCAAAGTCCATGTGGTAGACTGAGAAAGAATGGCTGCCCATCAATCAAAGAAAATGAGATGAAGAAGAAAGCAAGTGACAGGTTTTTCGCCTGTTACATGGACTAAATGGTTTATGGAAAGGTCTTTATTTGTAGTCAGAAGCAAAAATGGTTATAATGCAGTTTCAACCCAGAAATGTGTTTAAATCCATCCATGTGTTCTGATTTAGCATCAAAAAAATAAAACGTGGCCATTTGTGTGTGCTCGTGACCTCATAAGAAGAAAACCAAAGTGAACATAGAACATATACAGTGAAACCTAGAATGACTTCAGGAATTTGGAGAAATGTCTTCTGCCTGTTCTTTACTTATGTATTTTATCCCAGCTCAGACTTCTTCTTGAGATACCCCATTAGATCAACTTACCAAATCTTTATGATGTTAGTTAAATAATCTGAGTTAGAAGTACTATTTAATGACTGTTATTATAAATCCTGAAGTCTTAAACTGAGCAGATATTTTTTTGATTAACTGCTTTATTCTATTCCCTTCATTTCCATTACCTGTCACCCTCCAAGTCTGTGTAATAGCTGTCTTCAGGATGCTATCAGTCAAGCCCCCTTGTTGTGCAGCTCCCGAGAGCACAGTGTTGTCTATAGGCCCCTTGGAAAGGTGCACGGCTGTGGATGGCCTTGCATCTTCTAGCCACAATACAGGACGGAGAAAAGTAGGTTTACAATTGTCAGTACACAAAACAGAGTCTATTCTTGTTCTGTTTATTAAATACTGTATTGTTTTCCACATGAACAACTGTAGACCTACTTTTTCCCCATGCTGTAGATAGGTCATTGACTTAATAATTCCACAGTCTCCAGTGCTTTCTTGCTTTCTTTTTCCTGGTCTCCAGTTGAAGAGCACCCAACTCCTTTCATTTCACAGTCAATTTTTTTTCCATGGAGAAGGATCAATAGAGAAAAGGATCCCAAGTAGTACTGTATTTTCTTTCTTTCTTTTAGATATCTTTCCTATTTTACTTTCGTGAACCATTCATCTATCTGGTTCTGTTATACCAGTGAAAGTACTGTATTATATAGGCAAGTCTGTGGCAGAGTGGGATACTTTTGCTTTATATCTTCAACTGTAGCTAAGTGTAGGTTTCTAACTATAGGCTATGGTGAACATTAGCACATAACTAACGTGCCAGCATAATAAGATCTTTGAGAGCACCATTTCAACTTTTTGATCTGTAGAATGACAGAAGCTACATTCGATACTCTGCGACTCTGGGTAATAATCCTGCTGTGTGCTTTACGGCTGGCCATGATGCGTAGTCACCTGCAAGCTTACTTAAACTTAGCCCAGAAGTGTGTGGATCAGATGAAGAAAGAAGCAGGCCGAATAAGTACAGTGGAGCTACAGAAAATGGTAAGTTTTATACTGTAGTTAAAATGAAAAATAACAAATACTGTGTTGTAAGAAAAAAAAAATTTGGTTTCTTTTAATAGATTATAATTTTATTTTATAATATTTTTATTGTAAATAAATGGGATGATTTTATACAGACATCAAGAGACTTTGATCTGATTTTGGTGTTAGAAGAAAGGGTCTTTTTAAAAATATATTGTTATTGTTGAGAATACTACAAATGTCCCTCCTTTTTTTTCTCCCCCTTGCTCTTCACCACCCAGTTCCCGCCTTGCCCCAGGCCTTTACCATCCTATTGTCTGTGTTCATGGGCAATACATATATGCATATAAGTTCTTTGGTTAATCTTTGTAGTCCCACTGCCAACCCCCCTTCCCTCTGTGCTTCGTCAGTTTGTTCCCATGTAAAAAAGGGTCTTAATTCCTCTTTCTGCCTTAAGTGCTTTAAGCACCTTACAGTAGTGTGGTGTAAAGCTGTGGTATGTCTGCTATTGCTAAGTTGAGATCCTCTAATTGATTTGAAA